AAATAGGCAGGAGGAGGTCGCCATTCAAGGGCAAAAACAAACAAACGAAGCAGCAGCAGAGCCTTCAGGAATCAGGCCGTATCCGCACCCGAAAGAGAAGCAGAGTGAATCAACTGTTTATGCACAATAAAGCAGCAGAAGGGGGGATGCAGATCCTGGCCAGGAACAACGGCTGCTCTGCAGAGTTAGATAGCTGCTGGATTACTTGCTTTATGAACAGCACGACAAGGCACCAGCCACCCTTCAGAACCAAACAGCGGCAGGAACCTTCCGCTCCCAAAGGTTACTTCTCTTCAGTTTGGTGTGGGAACCACAGAGGGAAAATCTGGCGTGGGGATTGCTGTGAAACAACCTGCTCTGACAGATCTGCCTTCCACACTCCTGGGGCACAGTTCCCTGTCTGAAATACATTGAAGCACACGGTCAATTTCTCAAGGGTTCCATCAGCCCTAATCTCACCCTGGTGACAACAGCTGAGGGCTGTGCAGCATCGGACATCTCTGCGCTGGCACCGTTCAGCAACAGAGGACTGAGCACAGAGGGTCTCAGCACGGACAGGACAGACAGCAAAGCATCAGGCCCCAGCTGCAGCCCAGGCAGGGGCTGGAGGAAGCCGCCAGCTGTGGAACAGCTCCAGTGTGCAAAGAAGCTGCTGTAAGCTGACACAGGGAGGCTTTCTAGAGGTCAGCCTCCCTGCAGCAATGGTCAGGCGCTCGCTGTGAGCCCCTCTCACCTGGTGGGAAGCGCCGCAGGGAGCGCCGTACGTCCAGTAACACCTGCTGGTAATCCTTATTGCCCTCCCGCAGCTCCTTTCCTGCTGAAAGAAAAGAGGAAGCAGGTAATTGTGGAGTAGTGCAAAGGTACCAGGAAGAGCACGGGGAGATGGAGCTGGCCAGGAGGAGGAGGCCACGCAACACCCCCATCCCGTTCTCTGTACGTCACACAGCGGCCCTGGCCTCTCACTTTCACTGCTGCACAAACAGCAGCGCAAGGAAACAAGGCTATTATTTAAACATATGTTAAGATGCTTAAACTGACACCATTCCCAGAGTTCCTGGCAATATCTTAGCTCCACCATCTACACTGTGAAATTCACAGCGTCCTCAGCAACAGCAAGGCACAACACGCTGCGGAGGCAGTGAAGAATGGCTGAAAGAAATAATTCAGAGGAGAAAAAGCAAACACCCATTGGTAGCTAAGAGAGCTCCAACAGAAGTGAAAAGAATTTGCTGGCACGCTACCTACGCTGTCACATGAAATGCAACGCTGTCTTCCAGCAGCTCTGATCACCTACCACAATCCAGCTCCCGACTGACACGGGGATACAGGCACTTCTGAATGACCACAAATTCAGGAGCAACAACAGAATCTGTCCCTGGGAGCAGTGACTGCGACACCTGAGGTTCAAAGCCATGCAGATGTCACATCACGCAGGTCATTTCCCCTCCTTCCCCTCTGAGCAAACATCACACAAACTGCCTCACCTGCAGCTGGCAGACACCTGAGCATATCCCATCCCAGCACTCCTCAGCACAGCCACCTCACCAAAGAGCCACCAAAAACAGCCTGGCACCTCTTGCTACCAACTGTGTGCGTGCCAACCAACCACACAACGCCACAAGAACCACATCTAAAGATCTGTCACTAAAGATAATGACACCTCCAGGGAACAACAGAAACGTTGTTTTAGGAAGCTCTCTGCTTCCTGAGCTGCCATTTACGCAAGATACAGAGCGCACAGCCTGCGGTGTTCATTATGCAGCACAAGTCCCTTTCTGTGTGAGCTCAATGGGAAGCACTCCAGCATGCAGAGAGAAAACTTAAAGCAGAAAGATTCTCATCAGAACCGTGCCTGGGCTGCCCTGTACCTGGCAGGGGGGGCAGGTCATCTGTGTTCACACTCAGCAGCTTTGGCCACACTTTGCAGCGGATCTCATCGGTCAGCAGCCCTCCTTCACTGATGGCCATTCGCCTGAGCGCTGCCACATCAATAGGGTCGCTGTTCAGGGCCTGGTAAATTTCTGCCACTTTTCTTTTCTTCTTGGAGTCAAAGTCTGCAGGAAAAGCACAAAGCAAGATAACAGGATATGTCAGCGCAGGCCTTGCTAGCACAGACCATGGCCAACCCACACTGTGACCAGCACAGGCTCAGCACTGGTTGTCCCGCTGATGCAGAAGTGCCACAGAGCTGCTCGTCACCCTCATCAGATCACACACAGGACTGTGATGGCAGCACAGAGCTATTTTGCAACTGTTTCCACTCCAGGAAGGGCTGACTCAGTCCCAGCTCAGGTGTTGTGCACTCTGTAACACCTGGGCCTCATGTTCCTGCTGATTCCTGGCCAGGCAGCAGCTCCTGGCTACCATCAGCCCAGGGAGAGGTCTGAGGAAGGTCACATTTAAACCAGTTACAAGTATCGCAGTGTACTGACTTACCTCCCAACAAACACAAACTTTCTAGCTGTTAGCCTTGTGCAGGTGAGCTGCTATTAAAGTAACTGCTTTGTAGAGCACAGGGATTCTGGGGCAGGGAGAGGAGAGAAGCACACACACAGAGGGTGGGTTTCACGTGGGTTAAATACACAGATGGCACACAGGAGCATTTAGTGTGGGGCTGAGGAAGGGCACCGCTTCACCCTGCCCATGGTGCAGGTCAGCTCAGCCTCAGGTGGGCAGCAGGGAGGCAGTTCAGGGCCACTCCATGCAACACGCAGCTCCCATCTCGCTGCTCACAGAGGCTCTGTAGAGCCACGCAGGGTGAAGCTGCCAACGCTGCCATTCCTCAGATGGCTTTTCCAAGGGACGCAGCTCCCACTGCTCATGGAACCCAACCGGGATCCACCGGATGAGGAACTGCAGAGGACGTGGGCCGGGAGGAGCTGGGAGGGGCCGACTCCCCCTGACGCCCACCTCCTGCTGCCCTGTGGGGTTTCGGTGCTCGTGGGACACACAGGAGCCACGCAGTGAAGCGCCAAGCATCTTTTTTTGGCACTTTTTTGGCATTTTTTTGGATGAAAACCCACCACAGCAGCCTGCGGCAGAGCTTCAGCTCCCTCCGAACACCAACGTTAAAGCATCCAGCAAGCCCCCGGTGACAGCAGCTTTCCTTCTCTTTCCCTCCCACCCATCGCACGGGCAGCACCGACGAGTCCCCAACGGCCGCATCCCGCGGCGCCCCGTCCCGGAGCCAAACGACCCCTCGCTGTCCCCCCGCCATAACGCCCGGCCGTAACGCCCCGCCCCGCCGCATGGGGGCGCACTGCCAGCGACCCCACCCGGCACCCGCGAGGCGGCGCTCGAGCACCCCCAGCCCACTCCCCTGTGCGAGGAGGCGCTGCCCCCCCCCGCTACAGGCCCGGCCGGGCCGTACCGTGGCCGCCGACACCGTTGCGCGGCGGGCTCCGCCGGGCCATGTTTGTTCCCGGGCGCTGCGGCGCATGCCGAGCCGACGGCCGGGCCGGGTTGGGGCTGGGCGCTCCCGCACCGCCCGGTCCGGTCCCGTCCCTTCCGCGCCCCCACCCGCTCCCCCGCCCCTCCGCCGGCGGCGCGCGAGTGTTACGTCACGGCGCTGCGATGCGCAGGCGCGGCCGCGTGGCGGTGGCGCGTGGGCGGGGCGAACGCGCGCATGCGCAGACGAAGGCGGGAAGCACGCGTGGCGCTCCGGGCCCAGCCCCAATCCTGCGGGCCGCCGCGTTACGGCACAGCGGTGTGAAAACGTGGCTCAGCGCCTCCAGGGCAGCCGGCGGGGCAGAGCGCACGGCGGCAACGGGCTGCGCTCACCCGGCTTCAAACGCAGCTCCTCCTGCCCCCCAGCCAACCTCACGCGGAGTCAGGAATGGTCCGGGCTCGGGGCCCCTGCCGCGCGTTGCTCGCTCGTAGTCGGCGCTTAAAGACGCGGCGCAGCCGACGGGAAAAGGCCGCGTCGCTGCCAGGCCCCGCTCCTCCCGCCCGAAGCGTTGAGAAGTGCCCAGAGAAACGAGCGCTGGCCAGAAGCAGCAGCCGCTGCAGCTCAGGGTGGGAGATGTCCGTGCGTGTGACGCCACCCCTGAGCCCCCTACACAGGGAACTTAAATCTAACCTCGATAAATAAAACCAAATGTTTATTTACACCAAAGAATTCCAACACTGGATCTTTCACATATGAAGGACAAAGTATATATACACAGCAAGGGGTAGCAGGGCTGTAACAGGGGTGCTTTTTTTTCTTTTCCTTTGTTGTCAATGATAATATTTGTCCACAATTACTGATCTACCATTTCAGTTTAAGTTAAGTCTGCTCGCTCCTTCCTCTCAGTGCATATTTACAAGACTGTGAGGTAACTGGTATTCTCACCACATGGCACGTGAGGGAGGGGATGGTGGGTGAAGATGTGGTATCTGACTTGGCGCAGTCTGATTTTTCCAGCTTTAAGTTGCCACCAGCTCGAAACCTATATCAACAATTTAAAAACAATATACCCAATAACAAACTAATTCCAGAGATCCAAGCCAAGCAATGGCAGGAAGCCTCCCCTTCCATGAGAAAGGTGCTGATCAGAGGACGGCTCTAAAGCAGCACCTTTACCAGGAGGTGGAGAGGACTTCAGTTGGATCGGTCACTTTATGTTTGAAGACTAAAATTACATGCAAGGGGGTGAGTTGGCATTCTGGTCGGCTCCTAAGGAGACATGATTTGATCAAAATAGGGTTTTAGTCATTATCTGCACTTCTTTTAAGCTTACACCGCCTCTCCGTACTGGAATTGTCTCCTCAGTGTACTGAATCATATGCAGGCTATGGGGTTAAAGTGAGTGAGTGGTACTTAGAGAATCCCCCTCCCCTGCCTCATGAAGACTTGGTTTGGTAGTCTCTGGAGAACAGCACGATCTCCCAAGGTGTGTGCTCGTGGAGGAGTAATGGTGGGAACATGAAGAGAAGAGATTTCCAGCAGGATGCAATAGTTTGGAAATGCTGTTGATTCATCTTTGCTCTTAAATGAAGAGTACTTTTTTTTGGGGGGGGGGGGGGGGGAGGAAGGGGGAAGGGAAACTGTCCAAGAAATTTTCCATCTGTAGGTATTTTCAGGGAATCCCCTGAGTTACGAAAAGTTCAAGTAAAAAAAGAAAAATCAGCCTATAATAATTTTGTATATAATGACTGAACTACTATAAATCCACAAGCAACAGTTCAGACACGGTGCCTCCAAAGCGTTCATCCCCTCCCTTCCCCTGCCAGGCACGAGCTGCGTCCTGAGGAGAGGCGGAGGGGGAAACCTCTTCCCCACCTGACTCAGCTCAGGCAGCAGGAGACAGAACCCATCACTACTGCTGAGCGCCTGCAGCAGCTGGAACGGGCATCCCCAGGGTGGTGGTGGCAGAAATGACAGGTGAGCCTGCTAGAGGTCCAAGGGGTGAAGGTGTTGGCACTGAAGAAATCCCTGGAACAGAGACAGGTAAGCAAGAGTTAGAGTGAAACGGGTGCACGGATATCCAGGTCTGCTGTGCTGCTTCTGAAAGGACAAGTCATCCTCGCAGGTCACCTCCTTACATTTTCAGAGCTAGCAAAATAAGCTGAGAGCAAAGATCTTTAACAGAAAAAGCTCAGCTTATGCACATTTGAAGTGTCACCAAAGGGCAGATGTGGTAGCATCACTGTCCTTCCAGCCGCTGCCAGAAATTCCACCTGCAAAGCACTTTACAAAACACAAGGCCAGGAAAGCAGGTCAGGCCGCAGCGAGGCTCTTTTCCCTCTCTCCCACCCACATCTTTTTAGCCCTGCCTTCATCCTCAGTTGCAGGAGACGCCCCAACAGCCCAGCTGCAGAACTCTTCCCTCCCAGACATTCACAGAAACGCTTTGCAACACCAACGAGAGGCGGCAGAACTGACCTGACATCATACTTGCACTGCTGACAGGAGTGCTGCCACCCGGCATGTTGGACGAGCCCATCCGAGCCTGGTCTTTCACAATGGGATCTAGGAAGAGCACACTGTCCTTAGGCACCGTGCTGCCAGACAGCACTGAGGCACGCTGCCTGCCTGACCCCAGCGCACAGCCAGTGCTGGCGAGCTGCCTGTGGCACTGATGGTATCAGCCAGCACCTACTGGAGCACAGAACTTTGCACCGACTCCGCTGGAGGGCACCCAACAGGGTACAAAGGTAACATAACTAAACAAGTCCAGACGTTAAGGACAACTTGCCCAAATTCTGTGGTGTGGAGATCGGCTCGGCACTAAGAGCTGAAGCCATGGCAGTTATCTCCTTTCTACGTCAGGTGTTTCAGAAAACTAAACCCAGCAAATGAATGCAGTGAGCAGAAACATCACAGGTGGTAACAAGTCATGTCTCCAACCATATCCCACAGCTGTGAACTCTAATCAGGTCCACGTGTTGCCTTCCATAAGATGCAGGTAAAAATCACGGCCATCAGAACTGTGACATCCCCTTCCTGCCTCCCAAGCCTACTGCAGCAGGTGAAGTCATTTCAAGTTTGCCTTTCCTCATGATGCCTTCAGTACAACCTTTATCTGCACCCAGACACAAAGTAATTTTGCTGTTTCCCCATTCTCTCTTTCACAGCTTTCAGCTCTGCTAACGCTCATATTTGCAAAACGTTTCAGCTGAACATTTGCCACAAGCATAGGACTGCTGGTTGTTAGTTACAGAAGTCAGCTCAGCACCAACAAAAATAAAGAACCTGAGCAGATACTCCTATTTGTGTTGTCAGACAGCTGTTCTCACAAATCTCAATATGTAGGTTTCTAGGAAAACTGCAAGCATTCAAACATTAATTTTTCACATTTACTAGTGAAAGTTTCATTTTCTGCCTGAGAAAACAAGACTTCAACACACCACTGACTAAGGCACATTTAGCAACAGGATGACTTCAAAGGGCCTGTTTCTCAACAAAGCAGAGTCACCTGGTTTCATCAGACACAGAAATCCGTATATCCAGACACCTGCTGAAATGAGCACAGGTTCAGCAGCAAAGATTCTTTAATGCAGCGCTGCTGATTCACTGCCCTGACAGAGGCACACAACGCTGCCTCCTCAGCTGCTGCAGATGGCCATGGCCTACTTATCCACCTCAGATGAGCAGCCTCAGCTCCAGCACAGCTACTTGCAAAGCAGCGGCCTCTGCTGTTGCAGTGCTTAGCTCTGTCTGTACAACTACTCGGGTGGAGATTTCCCAGAGGAAAGAATGCAGAGGTGTGAGTGTGTAAGACCTGCTACTTACAGAAGTAGGGGTGTTCCATGGCTTCTCTTGCTGTGAGTCGTGACTGGTGGTCATATCGCAACAGCTTGTCTAAGAAATCCAGAGCTTCAGGACTCACCAGATGTTGGTTCTCGCTGTGAACAAAGCGCTCCCATCGTTTACGGGAGTGTCTGCAGAAAACAAGGCACACAGGTGAGGTGAGGCAGAGCACCCAGGTGCCAGATTCCTGTTGTTTTTTAAAGATAGGACTGCAGCAGATGCCCAGCTCAAAGACAGGTCACTGCTTGCTGCAGCAGCGAGGGGCTGAGCCGAAGCAGAGCACACAGAGCAGTACACCGAGCCTCCACGTGGCGGCACAGCTGCCACGCTTCCGACAGCACGAGGCCAGAGTGAAGGGAGGGCCTGAAGCCTCGGTTCTGCTCTTCTGTTACACTCTGAACGTTGCTTCCTGGTCACACATGAAATAACTACGAGGAAAATAACATGCCAGTGCCATCAGCAGAAATTCATTTCCTATTTGACAGTCTTGAGAACCACGGCTGCTCTTTTTTCTGCAATACCAGAAGGAGCGTTGGCCCTTCATGCTTTATGCTCTGGCAGTTCAATTATTAACCTAAATGACACTTAAAACTCGTTCCTCAAATGCATCTGCAGATACAGGTTTATAGGAAGCACTGGCAAAGCTGGGTCAAAAGCACAAAGCAGCAGTTCTCTCTAAAGCAAAAGTCTTTGTTCACTTCAAGCTCCAACTCCACCAAGAGCTCTCCATCTTCTGAACTACTTCCCAGCTTGGCTCACCTGCCCAAGATGTCATTGAAACGTGGATCCAGTTCAATGTTGTATTTGTCAATGTAGTCATACAGATCTTCTGTTCCCAGCACCTTGGCTATCCTCACCAGCTAGGAACAAACAGAAAAATAAGTCACTACTGTGAGGGAATAACAACAACAACAACAACGTCAGAGCCAAGCACGAAATACTGCAGCATATTCCCTTGGGAGCTGGAACACAGTCTGAGACAGCAGGCATGGGCTCATCTCACAGCTCCAACCATCCCACTGTAACTGTGGGCACCAGAAGTGTGTCCCCACTCAGGGCTGTGCAGCCCAAAGCAGCCTGGTGGCAGCTGTGTGCCCTCACATAACACTTAGCAGATGGATAGGACAGGGGCTTTCCACCAACTGTCACCTCAGGAGTAGTGGTTCAGTGTCCCAGAACACATCCCCCTTAATAAAAGCAAGGTTGTGACTTTTACCAGATACGTACCAAGGAGCTCAAATATACAAAGCACTAAACTATTTCTATCTGTTTTAGATAACCTTGCATGGTTTTAGGAAGGGAAGGGACATGGCTTCAAACTGAGCACAGAAGCTGTTAAGGAAATGTTTAAATTCTTCTTTGCATTCCTTAATAGAAGTGTAAGCAGAAAGTCTTCACTGTGAGAAGGGAACAGAGATCACACATGAGCAGCTCTCACCTGATCATAGTTGTCATGGCCATGGAAAAATGGCTCCTTTCGGAATATCATACTAGCCAACATGCAACCCAAGCTCCACATATCCAGACTGTAATCATACATCTGTACAAAACCAGAAGGACAATTCAATTTCTAATGAATTCAGCAGACAGGACTCCCGAAACTCACAGGTTCCCCCCTCCCTCCAGAAATGCAAACATGGCCATATTACACCAGGAACAAATATGTTACTGCATCTTCATTATCAGAACACTGTTCAACTCAGGGGGAACAGTTCACACAGCATTAGCTCCTCTCACAAAGACTTCATTTCCATTCCTCACTGCACAACCAGGCTTGATTAAGAAAAGAAATCAATCAACATTTGCATTCCAACATCCATGATGAAAGTTCAGCTCTTCAAGTCCCCAGGTGACTCCCTTTCACTTGGTGGCTTTACATCCATTACATCTCTTCATGTATTTTAGAACAGACCACCTTCAGAGTCAGGTTGCTGAATGCCTGAATTTCTGGTTCACTATCTGGAAACATTCAAGGTTTTCTGCATACACATCAGTGACAAATCCTGGTCATTCTTACCTGATAATCTACAAGGAGTTCAGGTCCTTTGAAATATCTGGAAGCCACTCTGACATTGTACTCCTGGCCAGGGTGATAGAACTCAGCCAAACCCCAATCTATTAGTCTAAGCTAGAAATGGTAGAAAACAATGAAAATCATCAAGGGATGTGCCAGCTCTGCTCCTACTGAGTCGTGCTACGACGGTACCTGAAAGCTTCATTTACAAGCTCTCTCTTCTCAGTTCATTTGAAATTGATCAGAGTATCTGTTCAGATATTCTCCACACGCCAAGACCATCAACCACTCTAAGTCAAATCTCTCCTTACCAACCCAACCAGAACACACAACCCATAAAAATCTTAAGTGGTTCACAAGATTTCAAGTTTCTCCATGCCATGGAAGCACAGTCCCCCATATGACCCCCCCCCAAAGATGTCTGCAAGTACCTCTATGACAGGATACCAAAAATGAACCCCTGTTTTGCCAAGACAAAAGTAGGACCCTTCCCTGCCCTGCAGTACCTTTCTGTGCTCATGATCAATCATGACGTTGTGAGGTTTGACATCTCTGTGCATGATTCCCATGCTATGGCAGTAATCTAGAGCCTGCAAGTGACAAAGAAGCAGATGCTGGAGTTGCAAGAACCTTTCAAGCTCAGTCACATTCAGAATTATTTCTGCATACACCAAGGTTACCCAGGCAGCACGACTTCACTGTTCAGTGATGCACTCAGAACCAGACTCACAGATCACAGCAAAGACCTCCAGCATCCCCTCCCAAAGTCCCAGCAAAAGAAGTGTCTGGTTTCACCTCCTGTGTTTATTCCCCCCCAAAAAAAGGATTTCTGGAGTTCTCAGTGTATCCAGATAAGGGCTTTGCTATCCTTAATAAGGACTAGAATTTCTTGTGGAAACGTGGCTAACCCATCAGTACTGTACTGATCTGATGCCTATTTTTAAAACCAATTCTTTCACAGTAACCAATTTCTTTCATTCTTTCCTCCTTTCCCCCATTAGTGACAAGATAACCATTGCTAAAGGATCAGCTGACTACAAAGCTGAGAAACCAATCAAGAAAACAGGAAAACCCCAACTTACCTTCAAAATCTCATACATGTAGAATCGAATATCATAATCTGTTAATGTCTGATATAATTGCTGTGGGAAACAAACACATCCCATCAGAGGTCAACACCAAAGAAAAAATATCACAACTGTGCCAATCCAGAACGACCCAATTCCGTCCTCTGCTGATGTGACTCTCCAAACCCCACAGATACTCAGCCTGTTCCTCTCCCATCCACATCACACACAGCTCACTTCCAGCTGTTCAGAACTCTGCTCTGCTCCTCTCACTAACTCCCAGCACCAGCCCACCGACTGCACGATTGCTGCAGACTGGCTCTCAAATACACTGAGGGGCTCCCAGCTCGAGTAAAGCTGTCCCAGGCATTGATGGCCTACAAGGTTAACGGATGAATTTGCTCTGAAGGTTACAATACCACAGAGATCTGGATCTTCACCTCCTAACTACCAAGGAACTGAATACAAACTTCTATCCAAGTGCATTCATCTTCAAAGACAACTGGTATGTTGGAAGGAAATGATTACATAACCTGTCTTCCCTCTACATATTAGTTTCTTCCCAGAACATTACAAGAGGCTTCTGAATGGAAAACACAGAAGGTCAGAACTCATACTATACCTTAAAGTCTGTGTTGTTTACATGTTCAAAAACCAAAGCAGGGGTCCGAGACTGAAACAGAGAGAAAAAGTGTTCAGCCTTGAGATAAACTGTTTCCATTCAAGATAATGCATTAAATCATTTCAACTCCTAAAATTCCTAAAAAAGCCCCTTCTGCCTCAGGCACAGCTGTAATTTCCCTCAGACAGAACAGGGCCTGCACTCTGTTCTGCCCCTAGAAGAAATGAACACATCTCAGTTCACTGCTGCTTCCTTATAGAGCGAGGGGCAGAAGTGACCTGTGGGGGGAAAGGCCTCTAAAAGAAGTTAATCAGATTAAGAGCTGATCTCATTAAGGGATTCACAAGCAGGACTTAAGGGCAGAGGAAAACAAAAACGTCAGATCAGAGCTGTAGTGAAAGACAAACTTTACCCACAAACCCAAGGCACCCTTTACTCACCACAGGGTCTTTTACTATATCTGCAAGAGTGATTATATTGGGACCGCCTCGCAAGTTTTCTAAGATCTTGATTTCACGCTTGATTTTCTTCTTTTTAACAGGCTGGAGAATAAAACACAGAGCATAAGACAAAGTGGCCATCAAGTGAGGCAAACAGACACGACAGATGACAAAGGTACCTGACTGCAAGTTAGCAAAATACATCAGCACCTTTGCAAGTTAAGTTCCAACAGCCACACTTGGTTGTTACCTATGAATCATTTCAGTAAGAACTCACATCTCTGAACACATTCCAACAGTCAAAAATCTGTTAAGTGACATGTGCTAGGTGTACAGTTAGGAGAAACCCATCAGCTATCCAAAGGCCACACTAAACAAAGGTATTTCACCAGTCAAGACTGTGGAACAGTAAGTTTCCAGGAGACCTTAACTCAGCCTGGAAGAATATTATGCCTGCAATGGAACGTGCAAAGCAGAAACTCTAAATTTAAGGTTAGCAGCCTCTGAATTTTATCACTGCCTTGAAAGGACAACAGTCCTGCGAGCTTATGGGCTTCATTCCACATAAAAGCATGCTGGGGTTCTGGTAGCTAAGAGGTGAGAATTCTCTAGTCAGCTCCTGAAAACTTTTCTAGCTCCAAGTAAAAACACTTTCAGAAGCGTGCTGCACATCAGGACTTCTTAAAGAGAAAGGTTAATTCCTTACAGGCAGAGATTTAACTTCATAACCAAGCATATGGTTTCTTATTAAGAGCTTGCAATGATAGCCTATTTCACTTAAGGGGACTCTGAAGCCAGACTTCAAGGATTTCAGTCTTAGAACACAAGACACTTCAGACCAACTGCTGCATTTTCTGGCCTCCCGATCACTTCAGGACCAATCTCATGTTTTCCCCAAACCCCTGCTCACCTTGAGAATTTTAACAACTACTTTTTCATTATTTGTAATGTTGATGGCTTCAAATACTTCACTGTATTTGCCTCGGCCTAATTTTCGAACTAGCTGGTAGTCATCTTGATTTCTGTGGAGATAAATAGGTAAAGAATTCCAAATAGCTCAGACATTTCCATCAGAATTTACAAGGTGCTCCTTAACTCTAAATCACTGCCGCCCCCTTCCAGAGAAGGTGGATAAACAAGCACCTTCAGTCCACTGAAGGCCATGATTACGAACTGAGAGAAGCAGGGAGCTTCTTTGTCCAGGCCCAATTCAACCCACAAGTTGTTTCTTCTGCAGTAGTAATGTGAGCCCATCTGGACTTCAGCAAACTCAAGCTATCTTTTCCAGAGGTCTAAGTAGGTTTGGGAGCTACATTTTTCCTAACATAATGCTAGGAAAACATCAGTAGGGCTATCAAGACAAAAAACTTCAGTGCTCGCCCATTCAATAGCAGACCAGGCACAGGACACCACTTCTGCTCAGCTGAGGACAGGGCTGTCTGGGCCCTGCCCACAAAAGCAGGAGCACAGAGCCACCAAGCTGCATCACTGCCATCTGATTCTTGGACATTTCAGTCATGAGCTCGATTTAGACACTTCCCTCCTTCAGAAAGGAGCATGGATGTCTTTTGTAGTCACTGGCAGAGAGAAGAGCAACAGGTCGCAAGGAGACATGTACCTATTTCATTTTGCTGAGTCTCTGCACTCCTCCAAATCAGAACCATTTCTCCAGCCCCACTCCCAGAGCCATTTAGCCTGTTTCAGATAAAAGACTTTCTTCCTTCTGAAAAGAACAAGTTTCCTGACTGCGTGTCAAAAGCTATTCCAACCAAAATCTTAAGGGAGGCACTAAAAACATTCTTGTGCTGCCAGGGATCTAAAAACTTGAGGAGACCATTTCAGATACACCAACAGGCTGTTCTGCCATTTCTGCAATGCCAACGAAAAGCCGTGATCCTGACTTGCCATTTACACCACACATCCAAAGAGCGTGAAAGCCTAACGCAGCACAGGTGCCAAAGCTCCCCCTGCACCCCTCTGCAGACCCCACGAGACCCTGCCCAGCCCACACTTACCCCCACTCAACCACATGCGACTCGTAGTCCCAGTACTCCCGGGGTCTGTGTGTGTTCACATCCGTGTAAACCCTGGCCCTGCTCGGCACGGGTCCCGACATATCAGACAGGTTGGCAGGTGGAAGCGATGAGATGGCTGAAACCAGAGGCTACCCAATCTCCACAGTAGGACAGAGGAGAAAGGCCTCAGACAGGCCTCTGGTTCTTCCAACTAAAGAGAGAGAGAAAATAAACCAAAGGTTAAAATCTCAAGATAGTATAAAAATATTGAAGTTAATAATTAAAAGCTGTTGAGAAGAAGTTGGAGTCCAGCCACGGACCTGGGATCGTTTGTCAGGACCTGAAAGCCATTTGCCTGCTTTTCCTCACACAAGACAGGACCGTCTGGACCCAACAGCAGAACAAACACCCTGAATGCACCTTGCGACTTTCAGTACCAAGTATGTAACTTATGGCTGGAAAGATAACTTTCCACAAGGGAAGAAAGGCAGCATGCTCTGTCTCAGCAGACGGGCTCCTCCCTTCAGCTCTCAGCAAAGGCAACGGCCATCGACTGCAACTTTTCTCCACCCTGGGCAAGTTTGTGCCAGTGCAGAAGCAGAACCCTTCACTCCCTGTGTGCTGCACGTCCTGCCCCTCTTGCAGGACACTGAGAAGCCGTGCTGCCAACAGCAGACAGATTTACAAGGTCACCTGTGCAACCTAAGTTAAGCACAGCCCCAAGTTTCAATTTCTAGAAATGCAATCTTCATTGAAAGCAGAATTTCTGAGCACATGCTCTGATTTCTGAATATTTACAGCAGCAGTAACTTACTCTAAGAACTACACTAACCATGCGGAGCAGCTCTGTTCCCAGCCTGCCATAAGACCCCAGAGTCACTACTGATTTCTCACTCAGTGACCATACAGGGAAGTTTTACTCAAAGCCCTGCAGAGGAATCACAAGTGTGCTTCGTAGCACAAATGAGCTCCTTGGTGCAGAGGCACAACCTGTTTATGGAGCACACTGCTTTCTCAGGCCTGCTCAAAGGCCCCAGCTAACATTGGCAGGACCTCCATCAGCAGGACAGTGACCCACCACCTCCAGCCCCAATTCAGAGCATGCTTCCAGTACTGCCAGTGCAAACACACTGCATGGGCTACAAACACCCTGACGTGAGGGATGAAAAGCAGCACCTACAGGTGGTCCTACCGATATCACCCAATAGAATTAGAATGCACAAATATTACGGTGGCATAAAAACTTCAAGTCAATGACGTTTCCTGTATAAAAACCAGATTGTTGAGACTCTGGACAAAGCTCCTGGTATTTATAAATCCAGGCTATCTATTAACAGCACACTGGTAAAGGCAATAACGCATGCCAAAAACCTCACACAGTGTTTTTTTTTTCCTTTTCAATAGGCCAGAAGCAGGCAGAGGAAAGCTCTCCATTCAGCCAAGCATTAAGTGCTATGGTTTTATACCGGACGTATCGTCCTGCCTAAATAAAAGCAGCGCCTTGCACCCCTCAAATCTTTCACCACGAGTGAAAGCTGACATACTTTTAAACATTTAAATACAAGAATGCCTTTGTCAGCTTTCAAAATAACTTTGGAGGAAGGAAGCTGTATCAGTGTGAAGGAGCATTGTTCGGCATGCAGCACAAGGCAGGCTGCACGGCTGCGGTCACAGAACGGCCCTCCGTGGGCAATGCTATAACCCAAATGAAGGGGAATTATTTGCTATGCAATCCTATCCCTTCGTGCAACTACTACACTGCAGGAAGAAGCAATAGCACCATTAATCAGAAATTAATAAGACCTAGAAATCTGCTCAGAGCCGTTAGTTTAAGCTACCAGGACGGATCACGCCAGCAGAAAATTCTAGAAGTCAGATCCTGCTCTGCTGACAGCATCCTGTCCACGGCTTTGATGTCTGCAGCAGGGAGCCCAGAGGCACAAATCCTCCTCCTGCACTGTTTCCTACAGCTCCACCAGCAGCCGCCTGCTTTGGATGCAGGAATGCCTGCGACATCTCCTCCTGGCACGAGCGCACCAAGCCTTCTCTCACAGCACCATCCGTGGTAACGTGGGCTATTTTTTGACCTGGTGACACACAAATGCTGTGGCAGGCAGCTGCAGGTAGGCAGGGAAGCAGCCAGGCTGAGAAGGGACACAGCACTGCTCTCAAGTCTGCAATGAAGGCGCGACTGACTTCCGACAGCAAGGGACAGGGAGCATCCAGGTAACAGCACCAAGCACAACTGGGAAAAAAACCCACCTGCTCCAGGGCAAAACGTTCATTCCTCTAACAAAATACACCTCTAACAAAATACACCTCTAACAAAATACACCTCTAACAAAATACACCTTTCAATAGATCGGACAGCCATCATCTCAGACCTCAAACCATTTATGTGGCATGACTCAGCTGCTCAGAAAGTCAGTGTGTATTCCAAGGCTGCATTAGCACAAGTGCAAGTTCACTAGAGTGCTCTCAGCACCGTGCAGTTAATTTAATTCCAGAGTTTCATCATTCTGTTTTTGTTTCTCTTATCTCCTCGTGCTTCCAGCAGGTTTTCCACTCGCTTTTTTTGTCTGCCCAACACTGCTTGTGTGGGACCTACACATCGAATCAGAGAGTATCTGGAGCTGGAAGGGTCCCACAGGGATCTAGGCCAACTGCAGTCTGCACACAGGCAACCCAGTGTCTGAGATGACTGAGCAATTCTAATTTTTAAGCACAATCCACATCAACACAGAACAGGATTGTTCCACACCTCCCAGCAAGATCACTTCAGCAGGCAAAAAAAAAATTAAGAAGTCAATCTCATTATCCAAAGATGGATCAATTTGCACAGTAGATATTTCCTTGTCATGTAGCTGCAGCCTAGCACGAGCTCTGTTGTAACAGACTGCTCAGGGGTTTTTAAAGGAAATCAACTGTAGCTTCTAAGAATGGCACACAGTGCCTAACTGTGAAGGTAGGTATTCCATCTACTGCTTTTTTAAGTGGAAAGGAGAGAATCTATACAGATAATTTGGTTTTGAAGCAAACAAAGTGACTTACTTACACAAACTTACCTCACCTGAAAGCTTCTCACTCCCTCTACTCAAACTGCTAAGGAACATGCATATGTTTTGCATTCACTACACCTGCAGAGGGATAATCTTGCAATGAATCCAAATTCTTTGACAGAGGGACAAAGAGGAATAAATAACTGTCATGTAGTTTTAAGGTAGAAAATACACAGTACAAGTAGCAATTACACCTAACTGAGATGAGTGTCCTGAGCTTATTAGAAAGGTTAAACTCTATTACTGCAGTCAGAATCCAAACTGAACGGGCCATTTGTTAATTCCTGCATGTGACAGCATCACAGAATAATTTACTTATTATCTGGACCACCAAAAGCACCCTATGTTGTAGGTAAGGTTGCTGTCACTAGCATCACCAACAACCACCACCCTCACAATGGGAAGAAATAACTTCTGTATCTAATCAGAATTTCTCATCATCTGGAGGCACTCCAGGGCTGTGCTGCAAAGTTCTGTAACCACATCCCACCTCCTCCATTACTCGTCCTCCCCAGCTGTATTCCCTTCAGAGGCAGCAAAGAATCTGCAACAAAAGCAGACCAAACAGACCAAATCCTCCATCCACAGAACCAAACCCACGGTGTTGTGGCAGTAAAACAGCAGTTCCTATGCTAGAGTGCAAAGCAATGTAGTACCTGCTGCACCTAGGCAGAAGCTCTGCTGTCGTCAGTCCTCTGCTGGCAGACAGGAACCTGCTGCTCAAGTGCCACCAGCTGGCTGACTGTGAGCTGGAGCTAACCTTACACTGAAACATGTGGGGCAATAGGGCAAGCCAAGCAAAAGCATCCAAGGACTGATGAAAACAAAACACACCTCTGAAAAAAAACCTGTCGTTTCTCAGTTGAGCTGAAGCACGCAGCTAAGAAACAGAAGCACGAGTCTGTAGGCAATGCAGCAGATCAGTGAGGAACACAAAGCCCTCAGTTACCCGCCTGGCACTCGCTGCCCAGCTCCCTGCCTTGGCAGTGCAAGGACACAGAGCAGCTATTCTGCCCCAGCAATACCCCTCAGGCAGACGATGCACGGTGGCAAACCCAAACAGGCCCAGCAGTTGGTTTTTGCACACAGGCCTGCCCTTAACTATGGTCTGTCAGTGTTAATAAGCCAGCTATCAGCTCACCCTGCACCACAGGGCTCTGCTTATCCTGCGTGCAGAACGGTGAGAACGGGGTCAAACTCCACACTGCTGATAAGTAGTCCATAGGAGTGCCTGAGAGTCAAAGTCAAGGGATCAGAACAGCTGTGCTGCCTCCATACAGGAACGGCTGGGTCCACTAATTAAGAGAGACCCCTTCTTCAGAGTTTGACTTTCTCTAACAGCAGCTTGCTGTGCTACCTTTGCTGCCTGAAGATCAGCAAAACAGTCAAGAGATTCTCGGTGTTTACTTTGAATTTGATTTTTCAAACTTTTTAATTCTTTAATTTAAATCACTGCGAGAAAACACCCCCTTTTTAAGAAGGAATCTAGCATCTATGCTGTGTTACTGTAATCCCTATGGCAACCCCTGCCCCATGGAGGACTTCATTCCTCATGAAGCATCTCCCCTAGAGCACCATGCACAACCACTACAGAGATTTCCTTTGCCAACTTCCCAACTGCACCACTCTGAGCAGGTGGCACCAAAACACAGGTAAGCAATTAAGCAAATCAGCAGAAACACACCTATTTGGCCTCTAGTACAATGCTTTTTTTCTTTCCCTTTTTTAAAGTCAGAAATAACCAAGGTACTGGATTTTTTTCCCCCCCTCCTTTTAAAGGCAATGCTTTTAACATGGAGTGCCTCTCAAGTACACAGTTACCAGAACCTGAAACCTAGAAATCTGCAGCAGTGTGACACAGCACACACAGCGAGCTGGAAGCCAAGAGCTTCCCAGAAGACTGTTGTCCTGGGGAACTCCAAGTACTACCAAGGGATGACCTTTGTGGAGAAGGCTTGGAGTATAAATAAGGCACCCACAAGCATAAGCATCGCTTGACACTGGTCTGCCTGCAGGCTGCTGCTCCCAGCACAGCCAGCTCTTGTTGCCCCAGCAAGCGGGACACTGCTGGCTGTTTGGTGCCACCCAGGCAGACCAGAGAGAACTCTGTCCCCTCTGTTCAGTATCACAGGTGACTCACTTGAACTTAGGT